GCAGACCCCGAACACTGCTGGAACATCGCCACGATGACGGTAAAGGAGGCACTGGCGAGCTGGAAGGGTGAGGCGGTGAAGGCCGCCATGGAAGAACAGATCCGCAGCCTCGTCGGCATGGGCACTTGGGAGCTGGTCAAACGCCCACGCGGGGTGAACATCATGAAGAACCGGTGGGTGCTGACGACCAAGTACCGCCTCGACGACACCGTCGAGCGCGAGAAGGCGAGGCTGGTCGTGAAGGGCTTCATGCAGGTGTGCGGTGCCGACTACGACGAGACGTACTCGCCGGTGAGCAGCTACGTCACGCTGAGGATCTTCCTTAGCATCGTCGCCGTCTTCGACCTCAACCTGATGCAGCTCGACATGAAGAACGCTTTCCTGCAGAGCAAGCTCGACAGGGTGCTCTACATGTACCAGCCGGACTACGTTAACGATGGGACCGGCCGGGTGTGTAAGCTGCTGAAGAGCCTCTACGGGCTGAAGCAGTCGCCGCTGCTGTGGTACAGGGCACTCGACAGTGTGTTGCTGGGCGCTGGCTGGAAGAAGAGCCAAGTCGACGAGGCGCTCTACTTCAAGGCCAGCGACGACGGAGTGACCTGCTGGGTACTGGTCTACGTCGACGACCTGCTCGCCGCCAGCAGCAGCCCCGCGATGCTGAAGGAGCTAAAGGGGTTGTTGGAGGCTGCCTTCGAGCTGCGCGAGATTTCGCCGGTCGTTAAGTACCTTGGGCTGGAGATCGTGCGCGACAGGCCAGCGAGGAAGCTGTGGCTTCACCAGCAGGGCTACGCCGATAAGCTGCATAGGCGCTTCATCGACGAGGAGCAGGGCGGTCGAGTCCCGAAGACGCCGGTCTCGGTCAATGCCTACGCCGAGCTGACATTCGACGATGAGGATGCGTAGGAGCGCGAGGAGGAGTACCGGCAGAAGGTTGGCTCTCTGCAGTTCGCGGCGATGACGACGAGGCCGGACATCGCGTTCGCCTGCAGCAAGCTGGGGAGCGGCCTCATGGTGAGGAGCGACCAGCATTGGCGTGAGGTCGACCGCTACCTCGCCTACCTCGCTGACACCTGCGACACCGCCCTGGAATTCGGCGGTGGACCAGAGTCGCTGGAGCTGATCGGCTACGTGGGACGTCAACGACGCGGGCAACAAGCAGAATCGGACGAGCGCGGGAGGCTACGTGTTCGTCTACGGAGGGGCCGCCGTTTCCTGGTCGAGCTCGCTCATCAACTGCATGACATTGTCATCGACAAAGTCGGAGTACGTGGCGGCCACGGATGCAGGCAAGGAGGGACGTCGACTTCGTTTCCTTCTTGCGGAATTCAAGCTACTCGTTGTGGGAAGCCGACCATCCTCCGCGTCGACAACAAGTCGGCAATTACAGTCGCTAAGGGCTTGGGGTTGACAGGCAAACTCAAGCACATGGAGTGACGCTATGCCTGGCTGCAGCACATGGTGAGACGCGGGAAGTTCGTACTGAAGTACATTCCGACCACCGAGCAGCCGGCAGACTTCCTGACAAAGGCGTTGCATTTTCGGGCTTTCAACCGGTGTTCTGTTGCCATCGGCCAAGTTCGTCTGGACGACGTCGGCAACGGCGACGATGATGTGCAGCAGTAGGTGCTGTGCCCTTCTGCACGGCTGGTGCGGTGATGGCGTGGTGTGTGTGGGATGCACGCCGAGGACGAGTTTTCTCCGTGGAGTACTGCCGTGTGGGCTGGAGGCCCAAGCGTGAGCGTGGCAGGGGAGTGTTAACGGGAATGGAGTGTTGGCCCCGCCCTCGCTTGGGCAACGCCGACAACTTGGTCGGATGTACGAGAGTAGCAGCCGACCGTTCACAGTGGAAGAGCTGCTCGACAGGCTTCGTCGAGCTGCAGGGGACTGCTGTGGTGTTGCTGTCGACCAGGGAACTCGACAGCCGTAACTGACTGGTCTGGGCGACGGGTGTGCCGTCGACCAGGAGGAGCAGTTCGACCGGGATGTCGACGGAGCAGTCCGTCGACCTGACAAGTGAGCAGCGGTCGACGAGGGGAGCTCGGCGACAACAACTGACAGCTCTGATCGATGAAAGGGGTCTGTCGACCAAGGGGTAGCTCGACGGGAGCTGTGGTCGACCAGGGGCACCTGGTGGTCGACCAGAAGGACTTGGTGGTCGACTAGAGCACCTGGGGTTGTCCAGGTCGACCGGGTAACCTACTCGGCGAGTTCTGCAGAGGCACGCAAACGTCGTCGAGGTCGCGATGGCGAAGGCGACTTTGGGTTGGTATCCCGAAGTCGATATGGCTCGTCAGGCGCAGACAACAGCCGACGGATGCACAACGGTGCAAGTCGGGCCAATCGTCTGCGCGCATCTGCGAGCGTGCGCACTGCTGTCTACTACGGGGGCAACGCTGGACAGCTGCTCTGCTGCAGCATTGGCACACCGTCGACCTGCTGTGTTGGCAGGTCGCCTTTCTGCAGTGCTGGCGCGGCTCCTCTACGCAACGCTGGCAGGCTGTCGACCATGCTGTGCTGTCGGTCGACCAGGCTAGCTGCAGAGTTGCTAGGTGCGTGATGTAGTCATTGTTGTCTTTGCTTGTTCAACAATTTCTGAACTCCTAACTTTGCTAGTGGAAACTCTTGACAATTTCTCCCGTGATTGTGCAAGCACTAAGGAACTAGGGAAAGCTATGATCACTCCTAGTAGTTTATGCCAACCCCGTAGTCTAGCTCACCACCGTTGTAGAGTGAATCTCCTCATGTTTTGCGAGGCACACAAGGACCCTTGGAGGTGACCCCGTGGGGACTACCTAGTGTGAGTTAAAGGTGTGTTTATATCCTCCAGATCCCAAATATCTGTCAACATAATTAGTATGCATGTCGGTAAGAAAATAATTATAACACAACCAGACGATGATGGTATTCTGGCGATTGGCATCCCATGCCTCTTTGTGGACCAAGTGAGCAGAGCAAGAGGAAATGAGGGTTAGTTAGGGTGAGGGTTATTGCTTGAGCTTCCGTAAGTTCAAGGATCTACGAGGTGTTGGCCATGGGCTTCGATAACGTGGAAGAATCATAAAGAGGAGCTAATTGAGCTTTGATGAAAGGAAAACAAACGCATTCCATGAAAACCAATGTGATGGTATGTGAAAGAAGGCTTGAAGAAAAACCTCATTCTAATATGCAGAGTGGCTAATTACAATGCGACTGGTTGGCTGGCCATCTTATAATAGTATCTCCACTTCTCCATCGTCCTCCTCCTATTGCTCCTCCTCCTTGCCTGTCTCCACTTCGCCCTCTTCCTTCTCCTCCTCTTGCTCCTCCTCCTCTGCCTCCACTTCCCCCTCTTCTTTCTCCTCCTTCTGCCCCCCCTCCTCGTCTATATCCACTTCTTCCTCTTCGTTCTCCTCCATTTGCTCCTCCTCCGCTGTCTCCACTTCTCCCATTTCTTTCTCCTCCTCCACTAACTTCTCCCCCTCTGTGTCTCCTGTCACTTCTACCTCCTCTCTCCCTCTCTCATCTGACCAGCCCACATTCAAACTTTCTCCACACGGCTCCTCCACTTCCATCCGAACATGTTTCTCTTCATCCTTCCCCCCCTCTACCACATCCTCTCCCTCGCCATTCCGCTTGTTCCTTTCCTCCTCTCCCCCTTCAGATCGCCCCCGTGACTCACCGCATACACCCTTCCCAGCCTCCCACACATCGTCTGACAGGGTGATCACCTCAGCACCAAGAGGAATGGCTGTAAAGGGTCTCACAGGCCCCCTCCTATTTCTCCCCATACCACCATAGGCATACGGGGCAGCAGCAGGAGAGGGAGATGGGGCAGCAGCTGGAGAGGGAGATGAGGCAGCAGCAGGAGTGGCAGACAGGGAGGATGGGCCAGCAGCAGGATTCCCTGCCCTCCCTTCCCCTCTTCTATCTTCCTCCGCCCACTTCCGCTTGCCCTTCCTCTCAACCTGCTGCAACCTCTCTTGCTCTTGAGCAGAACTTTGAGTTGCAGCAGCTGCTTTATCAGCAGAAGTTGCAGCAGCAGCAGCAAACCCAGTAATAATAGTAGCAGCAGCAGCAGCAGCAGCAGCAGCATCAGCGGCAGCAGCAGCATCATCGGCAGCAGCAGCATTAGCGGCGGCGGCAGCAGCATCAGTGGCATCAGCAGCTTTAGCGGCAGCAGCAACATCAGCGGCAGCAGCGGCATCAGCAGCGGCATCAGTAGCAGCAGCGGCATCAGTGGTAGCAGCAGCATCAGCGGCAGGAGAAGCATCAGCAGCGGCAGCAGTGGCAGCAGCAGCATCAGCAGCGGCAGCAGCATCAACAGCGGCAGCAGCAGCATCAGCAGCAGCAGCAGCAGTATCAACAGCAGCAGCAGCATTAGCAGCGGCAACAGCATCAGCAGTGGCAGCAGCAGCATCAGCAGTGGCAGCAGCAGCATGAGCAGTGGCACCACTGGCAGCAGCAGCATCAGCGGCAGCAGAAGCATCAGCAGCGGCAGCAGCATCAACAGCGGCGGCAGCAGCAGCAGCAGCAGCGGCGGCAGCAGCAGCGGCGGCAGCAGCAGCATCAGCTGCAGCAGCATCAGCAGCGGCAGCAGCAGCATCAACGACAGCAGCAGCATCAGCGGCAGCAGCAGCATCAGCCATAGCAGCAGCATCAGCGGCAGCAGCAGCAGCATCAACGGCAGCAGTAGCAGCATCATCGGCAGCAGCAGCAGCAGCAGCATCGGCGGCAGCAGCATGATCAGCGGCAGCAGCAGCATTAGCAGCAGCAGCAGCAGCAGCAGCAGCAGAGGCAACAGCAGCAGCAGCAGAGGCAGCAGCAGCATCGGCAGCAGAGGCAAACGCGGGAGCAGCAGGAGTGGCAGGCGGGGCAGCAGCAGGAGAGGTAGACAGGGAAGCCACAGGAGAGGGAGACGAGGCAGCAGCAGATGTGGCAGGCGGGGCAACATATGAAGGTGATGCACCAAACAGCAGCGAAGGGCATAACCATCTGCGTGCCCTACTGGTTCTACGGCCGCATTATTGATGCCATTCCTCTTCCACCGGTTCCTCCACTCTAGCATTCCCTACCCCCCCTTCCCCTCCTCTATCCTCCTCAGCCAACTTCTTGTTGCTCTTCCTCTCAACCTGCTGCATCCTTTTGTGCTCTTGAGCACTTACAAATGAAGCAGCAGCTGGAGTTGCAGTAGGTATTGAATCAGCGGAAGAAGATACAGCAGCAGCAAAACCAGTAACAACGGAAGTGGCAGCAGCAGCAGCAGCAGCATTAGCGTCAGCAGCAACAGTAGCAGCAGCAGCAAAACCAGGAGCAGCAGTAGCAGGGGCTGCATTAGCAAAGCCTGTAGCAGCGGCAGCACCATGGGCTGGAGCCGCGAGTCCGGAGGCATCCGCTGCAGCAGCTGCAACGACAAAATCGGAAGCAGCCGGGGCAGGCGCTGCAGTGGCAACGGTATCAGCAACAGCATCATCATCATCACTAGTTGCAGCGCCATGAGCAATTTCTGCTGCGGAATCAGTGGCAGAATCACCAGCAGACTCAGCAGTAGCAGCAGCAGCAGCAGCAGCAGTAGCAGCAGCAGCAGCAGCAACACCACCATCACCACTACTACCACCATTAGAAACACTAACAACGTCATCATCAACAGAAATGGCAGAAGCGTCATCAGAAATGACAATAGGGGAGTCGGCATGGCCACTTGCCGGAACAGATGCAGCAGCACCAGTGGCACCACCACCAGCAGCACCACCACCAGCAGCAACTGCACCACCACCACCAGCAGCAGCAGCACCACCAGCAGCAGCTGCACCAGCAGCAGCAGCAGCAGCAGCACCACCACCACCAGCAGCAGCAGCACCACCACCACCACCACCACCACCACCACCACCACCACCACCACCACCACCACCACCACCACCACCACCACCAGCAGCAGCAGCAGCAGCAGCAGCAGCAGCAGCAGCAGCAGCAGCAGTAGCAGCAGCAGCAGCAGCAGCAGCAGCAGCAGCAGCAGCAGCAGCAGTAGCAGCAGCAGCAACAGCAGCAGCAGCTCTTGCGTCAGGCAGCAGGGGCCCAGACCAGGAGTACGGGACATTCACCCGCCAATCCTCCCAACCCCAACCACACACCACCACTGTGTCTTCCCCCACCTGGACCTCCCTCCGCTCTACCCCTTCAATCGGAAACGGCTGTCGAAGCGAAGCCACGTGCTGCTCTAGAAGTTCTGGCAGTGGGCGAAGGGGATTAACTCTGATGCAGAGGCAGGAGATTGGGCAACACACCTCTGCCCAATCCAGCCTGCTCTCCCGGCCATCATCCGCAACAAACTGAGCGGGATCAGTGAAACTGGTCCCGATCTCCATAACTCCAGTGTCAGAGCACACGCCCTCTCTGCTGCTGGTTCCACCCCTGCTGCTTCTGTTGCTGCCGATATTGACGTGAGAGGCTGCTACTGTTGCTGCTGCTTTTGCTGCTGTTGTTGCTGCTGCAGACGATGTGGTTGCAGTTGACAACAGTCCATGTTCATTGTCACAAGAGGCAGGATGAGCTGTGTCGCTAGAGGGGGGGCGGGTGAAGCAGTGGCGGAAGAGCCGCACACGGAAGGTGCAGCGGCAGCTTTCCTCCCCTGTTCGTAGGACTCTGTGGCGCTGACGATCTATTGACACGACTCTTCCATCTTAGTGTGCTTGTGGAAGGGGAATGAACAGCAAGAAGACACACACAATCACGCCTCAGAAGCTGTCCTCCTCAGCCCATCACACCTTGCGATGCCTGATTGGTACTACAACTCTTCCAGACATATTGTGCCTATGGACGGGGAGGGAAGGGAACAACATGAAGACACACACAGTCGCGCCAGACATGCTGTGAAATGCGGCCACTGGTTTCACTTTCAGCTCTGAGTGCAACAGGCTAACTATGACTCCAAAAGTGTGACTAGATTGTGCATCAATAAAAAAAGACCTTGTGCAAGATACAACAAAAGTGCATGACAAGGTACAACTGACACACTAACTCAAATGTCTCAAATGATGTATCGCATTTTTACTTCCCATTTCTATTCTATTTTTATGCCAATGGATTATCTGCCGCATTGTTGGTCTAAAAAAACATAGATAAACTCCCCAGCAAGTGGCACATGTGCAACAAATCCTCACAAAATGGTAGACCAGTGTATTAGAGCTGCACCCCAGCACATTCTTCAAGCAATCAATGTCTCACCTCGCCACAAACGGTCAGATCTCCTGCAGGGTGCTTCACGAAAGCAACTACGCCAGTGCCCTCCTTGATCAAACGGCAGTCACTTGGTTCAAGAGGCCGAGAGGCCAGCCGGGGCCGAGCCCGCGCCACCACTTCCTTCTCATGAGGGTTGTCATATGAGACACCGTAGGGCTGCAGGTTCCCTTCCCCCACGTTCTGCTCCCTTAGAGGATCACTTTCAGGTTTGCCAACTTGACACGCCCATAAACTGTTAGTATGGAAGCACTCAAAATCTGCTTTAGGGTGAAGAATAAGAAACGCACAAGGATAACAATGAACAAAGCACACAGTCTAAAGGTGACCACGAGGTCTCAGGTTAATCAAACAACATGGAAAACACTGGATGGCATCAGGCACTACCACGGATTGAGTTCAATTAATGAAACCCACCTAGTTGGTCTTCAAAATTTTCTGCTGTCCGAGGCATGGCTGCTTGTCTTCAGGCTTTCCAATGGGAGTCCTTGGTGTTGTAACAAAGTGCACAGCAGGGCTGCTAGGGAGGTGAGGAGTGTGACAAAACATGACAACATGAGAATGTAGAAAATGGCTATGAGGGTTGAGCAAAGTAACAAACTGCAAACAGAAATCAGCAAACATCTTCAGTTTGACAAACTAATTGGTTCAGATAGACTTGGAGTTCCAAGCAGTATGAGACCTCGCCTAGAGTGTTTGGCGGAGGCGGTTTTGGAGGTCAAATTCGTGGATATCAGGATTTTGTGCTCAGTTTTGCACAGATCTGGGATCGGCGCTCAGATTCGCACAGATCTGGGTTTGCCGCTCAGATTTGCACAGGTCTGTGATTGGCGCTCAGAATCGCGCAGATCTGGGATTGGCGCTCAGGCCAGCTCTGCTGGCCAAAGAAGGGATGCATACAAAACGTGGACTTTTATCAAAGTAAACTCCAAACATGGTGAATGGTACGTTTCACAAATGGTAGAAGAATGATTGGAAAAAAACTCGACGATGACCAACATGACCCTGTTGGTGGTTCAGCAGCAAAGATTGCATGTTTGTGGTGAGTTCAGCAAAAGTGTAATGTCTGCGGGCTTACACGAAAGGTTAAAAGGCAACCGTTTTTCACAACCCCCGTTTTGGCCCAATGGTCTAGCACACAACTCCTTTGTTGGAACCATAACGTCCCACGCCTTGGACTACTGAGTCAAATCCGGAGGTTATTCAGAGACAAAACTATTGTGATTCTTTCACGTCTTCCTTCCATGACTCCCACGAGAATTATGCCTTACTAACATGCGGAGTTGGTGAAGATATAGGGAACTCACCATGTAAGGAAGAACTGACCGCAAGGAGAAAGAAAGGCGTGATCTTCGCTCGTGAAACTTGGAGGTGGATACGAAAAGGCTCCACAACGATTTCGCCTCTCGTCTCTCCTTGGAGGTGGAAAAAACTCATCTTCGCGCGACTCGCAAGACGAGATCGACCTTGGTTCAAGACGATTGGACGAGATCTAGCTATTGGGACGCGCCACGTGTTGCTCTGCATGCTTGCGTGTTCGTATGGAACCTCGCGTGCTTCAACCTAGGAGAGAAGCATGCAGAGCAAGGTGGATTTATTGTGCGGATGATCTCTAAATGTGGAAGAGAGCAAGAGAGTGAGGACGGAGTTTCCAAGGTTTAGCTGGTGAACTAGATCTGCCAATTTTGGGTTGGTCTAGAACCCCTGTCATTTTGTTATGGGTTGGATCATGTGTATGGGAAATAGATTTGAGAGGCATTGTGTGGTAAATTAAAGTTTAACATTAAAAAATGCGAGTATTATGAGGATCAGTTGGAAATGGACCTGAGAAAAGTTCCTTCATTATGGAGCGTGGAAAGGTGAGAGTGTTGTCCCGAGACCCGACACTCCCAACCTTCAGTCCGGAAAAATAATTTAACCAGTTTCGCGACTCCTTTGCCTAGAAACCCTTCAACTTCGAAGTACTAGTGCTCGAATTAGATACACTGGATAGTAGGCAGGCATCACTTTAGATCGAATAAAGACAAAGTATTTTCAGAACCGGCCCCAATCTGTCAAGATTCCGATGCATTGACAATCACGGATGGACCGTAAAATGCATTGAGAGATGGGAAGATATCAGCCGAATCCCTTCGGAAACCTGGTTTTGCCCCTGCGGGATTTCCCTGGAGAGATTTCCGTTTTCCCGCAGTCGCCTAGCAAAGCACGCGAGGGGCGGGAGCCAACCCCCCCCCCCCCGCCCGAAAACGGGCACCCCCAGCTGGCGCTAGCTGCCAGCGGTCCCCCCCAACCGAACCGAACCCCACCCTCGGTTCGCAGACGGGTTCCGTCCGGTAACCCACGGAACCCTCACAGGGCATCGCCTCACCGACGGAACCCGTCCGCGAATTCTCGCGAGCGGACGGAAGCGACGCCCATCTGCGCCGCGCTCCACCGCTCTTGCCCTCAATGGGGCCCATTTCGGTTGGCGCTCGACCCTGGTGATGTGTCGAACGCCCCCTCCCGCTCCTTGAGAGGGGTCTTTCAGCTGCATGCAGGGCGCCCCACCTCATGCAACCAACCACCAATAGGGCCCCGCCGCCCTCTGCCATAAGCTCTTCCTACCGTCGTCGCGGAACGCGCCCTGCCTCGTCGCCCTTGCACCCGAGTCTGTCTCGGTGGAGGGGATTGTCAAACTTATATATGCTATAGTCTGTTTAGGCTGTAGTGGGGTAGTTCTTAGAGGGTACAACACTTTTGTGTTTCATAATTGTACCCACCTGTTGCCTAGTTCATTCCATTCCTCTCATTATTCTCACTTGGTATAGAGCAGGTTCCCTAGTGGAACTGTTTTTTTTTAGGGCCCACCACTACGCAATTTTATTTTCCTTACCTGCCCGAAGCGCGCTTCGCGTTTGTCCTAACTGCGCCCCGTGCGCCTGCCCTACGAGGCCCTTCGCGGCCCCTTTCGCGGCCCTTCGCGGCCCCTCGCGGCCCTTCGCGGCCCCTCGCGGCCCTTTGTGCGGCCCCTCGAGGCCCCTTCGCGGCCCTTCGCGGCCCCTTGTGCGGCCCTTCGAGGCCCCTTAGCGGCCCTTCGCGGCCCTTCGCGGCCCCCTTAGCGGCCTTTCGCGGCCCCTTCAGCCGCTCTTCGCGGCCCCCTGCCGGCCCCCCCTTGCTAACGAGCCCCTGCCGGCCCCTACTGGCGCGGCACCTGCTGGCGCGCCCCTGCCGGCCCCTGCTGACGCGTCTCTGCCGGCCCCTGCTGACGCGCCCCTACTGGCGCGCCCCTGCCGGCCCCTGCTGACGAGCCCCTGCCGGCCCCTACTGGCGCGGCACCTGCTGGCGCGCCCCTGCCGGCCCCTGCTGACGCGTCTCTGCCGGCCCCTGCTGACGCGCCCCTACTGGCGCGCCCTTGCCGGCACCTGCTGACGAGCCCCTGCCGACCCCGACTGGCGCGGCCCCTGCATTCACGGCCCGCCCCTTCACCAGTCTCTGGTAAGCCGAGCCGCGCAGCCCAGCCGAGCCGCGCCGCCCAGCCGAGCCGTACCGCCCAGCCGAGCCGCGCCGCCCAGCCGAGCCGCACCGCCCAGCCGAGCCGCGCCGCCCAGCCGAGCCGCGCCGCCCAGCCGAGCCGCGCAGCCCCCTACCGAGCCGCACTGCCCTACCGAGCAGCACTACTGCTCCTGCTTCTACTGCTGCTACTGCTGCTACTGCTGCTACTCTTGCTACTGCTCCTATTGCTGCTATGGCTAGTCCTACCGTTCTCACCTTTGATGCTGACGGATGTGCAGTTGACTTTGACGTGTGGGTTGACGACCTACAGCTCTTTCTTCAGTGTGACTCTAGGGATGGGGTATCCTTTTTCGATCACACATCCGGTGTTTCCACTGCTCCTGCTGCCACTGCTGACAGTGCTGTTCGCTCACAGTGGACCACTCGTGACGCTGTTGCTCGTCTTGCTGTTCGTAGTCACCTGCCGCCTGCTGAGCGCGCACACTTTGGCCAGTACAAGACTGCTCAGTCTTTGTACGACGCTGTAGTTGCACGCTACTCCTCCCCTGCCACTGCTGCCCTCAGCCGCCTCATGCTGCCGTACCTTTTCCCTGACCTTGCCGCCTTTGCCACAGTTGCTGACCTAGTTGCTCACCTT